TTTGGTGATTTTTTGAATCGTCTTCGAAAAATTGTCTCTTGATTTCAGAGGAAAAAGAAATAATCAAGAAATAATAATAATAAAAATATTCTGCACATTTCTGTTACTTAGAATTTCTCTCTTGCTGTAGCTCGAATTTAGTAACATTTATTTCGAAACGCTATTTTACTTCATTTTTTTTCAAGGATTCGCTTTGTTTTAAATAATATTCCTCAATCCCTCGCTGTTCCTCGTACGTTAGAGGGAAGTCATTTCGCCGCAGTTACTCGCGCCATTACTCCACAGCGAGAGTGCAATTTACGTGTGGAATTTCGCGGGAATCGTTAGTCGTCGCTGGTTGCCAACTCTCTTCCCCCCCTCCCCCCCCCCGTTTCCTCCGTTTTCCTCCTGATATTACGAGATATTAAATTTTCAGAGGAGGGGGGCGAGTGTTTTCGAAAATTTCGAAACGATCGATTCTCTAAATGAGAGAGAGAGAGAGAGAGAGAGAGAGAGAGAGAGAGAGAGATATGACTCGTCTAAAATCAAGGCTTCTCTTCGCCAGGATCGATCAGCCGGAATGTATTATTAACTGCGTACTAATTATCCGCTCGTTATTGGATAGGAGGAGTCGAAACACGCGGTTAATATCGCGTACAAGATAGGGAAATATCTCCTCGATTGAACCTCTTAACACTAATTACGATCGACATTTTTCTCTCTTGAGGGAAGCTTCGACTGGTATCAAAACATCGACATCGAATAACAATGTTTCCTGTCACTTTCTTTTTTCCTTTTTCGCCCATTCTCTCCTCTTTGTCAAACCTATCTTTTTCCTTTTTTCTTTATCCTTAACCTCGAACAATCGTCATGCCTCTTATCGCGCGTCCGATACGCGATCGGTAATTTTAGAATTTTTCCATCCTCGTCAATTATCCAAAAATCGTCCATTTTGTCTATCTATTTTTCTCTCTCATGCGTTTCCGTTTCGATCGAATTAATAATACGAATAATGTTGTTCTTCGATCGAATCCGTTTCGTTGAAAAGAACTTTCGATAATAGGATGAAATCAACGCCGGTTTAAATATGGAGAGATTTCACTTCTCTGGAGTGCCTTTTAAATAATTTTAATTTATCAGGTAAGAGATTCTTCTTCTTTCGTTTCGTTTCGAATGAAGGAAGGTTCCTCCCCTGACCAAATATCAATTCCAATTAAACCGGTTTAACTTCGATGATCATTAGAGAGGAACAATATGGCCGGCCAGCAGTTTGCTCTTTCCAACTCTCCGCGGAGTTAAGTTTCGAACTAATAGTGGAAATTTTCATTTCCCGGTGTTGTTTCCGTGGAAGTTTTAAAGCCGCTTTCCCGCGAGGATTGCGCCTATACGCAAAATACGCCGCCAACTTTTCCTCAATTACATCGTTTCTCGCCATTTCTCTCACACGCGACGATCCTTCTTTGTCCTTCGTGATGGCGCAGGATTCGCGAGAAGAGAGAGAAAAAACGATTCGTTCGAGACGAGTGAAACAGTTAACGCCATGTTTCCAGTCTTTAAACAATCAAGAATGGGAAGAGATCCTACTTTCCGATCGTAAATGACGCTCTCTACCACCGTTAAAACCTTCCTTTCGTCACGTTTCAGAAGGCGCTTGGCATCAGCCAAGTGTGCATAATCGTTGTGCATACGTGTCGTGAATTAAGGCGTCGAGTGGCGGAACTAATTGACACGTTCAAAGTTTTACAGGATTTCAATAGGATTGAAATTGAAGACTTAACCAATCCACATTTGAAGAGTTTTCCTCTTCGTAACAGCGTTGCGAATAAATAAAAAATACATGTGAAAATAAATTTGAAGAACGCCTCGGGGATTCGAAAGATTTTTCACGTATTTTATCCCATTTATCCTATTATACGGTAAATCTATCTGTATGAGCGTAAAATTTAATAAATTTCAGACACGGGATGCGAGCTGACCAGCGAGAGCATGCCGCTTCAAAGCGCGCTCACGGCCGCGGTGCAGACGTCGGTAGGAGTGACAGAGATCTCCCTGACATCGAACGCATCGAGCAAAACTAATAACGAGCAAGTGGCACAGCTGTAGGGAAGCTATAATTCGAGGGAGAGGGGGGCCTCCTGGCGGCCAGCCAACACCTCTCCTCCCCTCTGGACTTCCGAACGAAGGAGCACAGTGAATAGTGCGAATCCGTGTTAATAAAAAGGGGGATAGCAATGGCGAGCTTAGAGAAACGTGTTGCGCGGCAAAAAGGAGCGACGGTAAAAATCTGCGGAGACGAGGCTTATAACGAGGCCACTTCCGATTTTTCCTTCTTTGTCCGCGCTGCTTGTTCCTACGATACGCTGGTTCCTCGATGTGGGGTAAGCTCAACTTCCTTCCACCGGTAGAATCGTGTCTTTCGATTCGACGAATAAAAGAAGAAGAAGAAGAGAGATAAAAAAAGATAAACATACGCAATGTGTATATACACTTATAGATTTCTCTCCCGTTTTATTACGTATCACGCAGGTGGTGTGCGATTAAAAGTGGACTTCTTAAATTAAGCGAACTATTTAAATAAAAAAATCCGCGTTGCCTATTATCCAATTACACGACACTGGATCGTATCTGTGTCGTCGTAAACTGTCGTCTTCGCTCGTTCATTATATATCGAGATCACTCGATCGTAATTGAGATCGCTGTTGTTATTGTTACTGTTACAAACGGTTATCCTCGTGAATAATATATGAACGCAACAAGGATATTTATATATACGCCTATGTATTAGGTACCGTCGTAACACGAATGTAACCTGGTGGCACGAGTTTGACTTATACATATATACCTCTGTGCATAAGTGTGTGTGTAGATATTTGCCGGTTTTAACGAATGACTGATATACAATGTAAATTATTATTATTATTATTACTATTATTATTATTATTATTATTATTATTATTATGAAACGATGCTCGTTTAAAATTTTATATTTTATTAAATGCGTCTAATAATATCTGATGATATCTGGTATTCCGTTGAGTAATTTAATTAATTAAATGCTTCGAATTGTTAACTCGTCAGAATATCAAGACTAATAATTAAAAATAATTATGGAAAAAATTTTGAATACTCTTCTCTTCGTGCCATATTCGATATTATGTTATTGTATTTTTTGATGCAAATTATAATTAAACGGGTATCCATGTATTTATGGACGACAGAATATATATTCGAACGAATTGTAAATTGTTAACGGACATAAGGATAATGATAATGTAAATCCATGAGAAAAATACGACTCGTTGTACGAGCTAATCTGTGACCGGCAAATGTACTTTACGATGTTTGTATCGTTTATTGGTTTAACGAGCCAACTAATTGGCACGATTAAACCAGCGTGTTCACCCGCGTGTCGATGATTAAACTCG